TGTAAATATATATATATATATATATATATATATATATATATATATATATATATGTATATATATATATATATATATATAAATATACATATATATATATATATACATATATATATATATATATACATATATATATATATATATATATATATATATGCGTGTGTGTGTGTGCGTTGTGCGCGCACGTGTGCGTGTGAGTGAGTGAGTGAGTGAGTGAGTGTGTGTGAATGTGTGAGTGTGTGATTGAGTGTGTGTGAATGGATTAGTGTGTGTGTGTGGATTGAAAAGTTGGGATATCACGGGTGGTTTGTAGTATTTCCATGGTGGCATTCTCGCATCATCGTATCAACTATACTGTGATGTGCTCTGCATGTCCTTGATGATTCTTATCATCGATATGTGCGTACAAGTGAATAGCTAAGATAGCACGGGTGCGTTGTAGTAGTTCTATGGTTATACTCCAGGACTCCATCTATACTGCAAGGCTTTCTCGGTGCAAGTTTTATTTTCATCAAGAGCACTTCAGATGCCCAGTTGGGTCAACTCCCCTTTACGTAGCAACCAAATGTCCTCTGTCTACCCACAGGCTACAAGGGCAAGACCCCGCTACACGACGCTATTGATATGAATGAAATTGAAGCTACGCTGTTACTGCTGCAGGTGTGTTGTAGTATAGTCATATTTGCCATGCCTTTTGAGCTCTCAACTGGAGCGATATCGACTGTGCTGCCAGTATGCGGTGTGCTTTGTAGCTATCATCGCTTGGGGTATATGCAGGTGAAGACACAGAACAAAAAAATCCTATAGAGTTTCCCTTGCGAAACGGATCTGTATTTAAATCACTAATATAGAAGCCGCACTAGCCATTCACAGACAAACGGACACATGACTTTTATACTGAACAATTACGGTGCATTGCCTACCTTTAATTCGATAGACACCCAACTATCAGGCAAATTCGCATCCTAATTACTGATTAATAGTTGACTCTCCTCGTTCGATTTCATCAGAACAATGCCGACAGGACACGTCTCTGCGACGCCAGGAAGAGGCCTGAAGACTACTGTATTGCTGATGCTATGAGGGAGGCTATTGCAGGATTCAAGGTACGTGTTATAGACGAATACAAGTATTTATGAATTGATATATACACTTCTGTTTTCATATATATATATATATATATATATATATATGTAGTGTGTGTGTGTGTATGAGTGTGTGTGTATATATGTATGAGTGTATTATATTATGGAAGAGGCGGAAAACTATATCTCCTATGCTTTGGGTGAGACTTTGTTACTTTTTTGTGCGTGGTACGGCATATGCGCAGCGCAATACCAAGTACTTAAAGCTCAGATACATATGTGTATTTTGGTAATTTTGAAATGTGCATACGAATGCAGAATGCAGTATTGTCGCATATGGCCTGGCGTGCTGCTACCGTTTAAGTGCTTTCCATGTTGTCAAAATAGATCCTACACCACTTTGACACACCTCCTTGGAGATTTAGTTACGACTTAGAACCCCTTCTGCAGTTATAATGGTCTTAAGGCGGGTATAATGGCTTCTTACCTAGAATTCTGAGTCTAGATTGATAACAAACCTGAATCTAAACTGAACTATTGAGTTAGACATCTCGGTTTACAACTTACTGGGTTACATTATCTGTTTGTCTTTCTTTTATCGATTGGTAGGAGCCCGATCCTTTGCCTCTGCGCATACAAGAACATCCGACAACTCCCACCCCGGCAAAGCGGTATGTATGTACAACATATTCATACCTTTGTTTATGTATATAGGATTATATATATATATATATATATATATATATATATATATTATTATTAT